TAGGCAATCTGTAAGACCTCACCGACTAATAACTTATATTTCAAAGTCCGACCCGCACATGGATGTGCGACTCAGACTTAGGGGACTATTGTTATACCCATAAAATATCTCCTATTGGGCTTACCCATTCGGCCCATTTGTTACTTTATATGTGTGTGTGTGTGTGTGTGCGTGCGCGCGCGATTCATTTCATAATCAAGGTATGTTTTCTAATCATATCATCTTCCCCTCTTGCACTAATATTTTCTTCGTCTTGCAGTTGACTTGACCATCGAGTGTAAACGATCGCTGGACATTTTTGTCAATCGACGGCCTTTGCCTCCTAAAGGGTGTTCAATGTGCATGTGATGTCCACGTGAAGGGGTCGTGGCGAAATTATGTTGGCACACTTTTTTGGGTCAACGCAATTTATAAATTTAGTTAAAACAAAATTTCAACCACACATTAATACCTATTACTCTTTGCACATTTTATGGAATTCACTATTATTCTTATTTATAAACTATTTATGAATTTGCCAAGTAAAGCATTATCAACTGTAGCCTGTAGGGCCATATCTATCTAGCTAGTCCAAGTCTAGCTCTTGTTGGGCTAGGACTAAATCAAAAGTAGTTTACACAATTAGCTATGAAAGGGGAAAAATTAAAGAAACAATGTAGCACTCTTTTATAAACTTTTGTACCAATTTTTAATGTTTGTAGCACTTGTTTTTTTTAGAGGGAAGAACTCACTACCAGTACACTTTTTTGCTTGTATGTGATAGAATAATCTTTTTCAATATTTGGTAAATCAAAAATGTTATACGTACAGGGCCACATGTTGTCAATTTTTATATCCCACAAGTATACGGATCGTAACAAGTAAAATAAACTAATGCACCTTAATAGACTACATGCAATGCAAATACAGAAAGTATAATAAATAAAAGGGTAAGAAATTGAGTTACCTCCTAATAACACTTAATTTAAAATCTTTACCTAGACTTTCACACAAGTGCTTCATGGCACTTTGAATATGGCTTTGAAGGTCCTGCTCAACTTGCTCAATTTGACTTTGTTCCACATTTCACATGTCCTTCAAAATAGTACTTTGCCCTTTTTAATACGGTATGACTAGTCTAAATTACCCAATTCGAACTCATCTAAGAAGACTTCAATTTTCTTATTGACTATAATCACAAAATCAATGAAGTTGGAGGTTTGCATGCTAATCCCATCTTCTTTGAATGCTACTAATTTATTTGGCTCTTTCGTGATTAATATATTGTTTCTACATGTTTTTCATCTTTAGTTGGCTCCTCAAGTTGAATAATGAAGAGAACCTCCATTGGCATGTTATTTGCCTCATTTGAAATTAATTGATCTTCAATCCTTTTATATTTTTGCATGATGATGTCTCTCGTAACTATTTCACCGCCATCATCTTGTTCATATAAATCATCAAATATAGCTTTTCTTACTTCCTCTGGAGTCATCAATAAAAAGCAATTTTTTTGTACGATGCAATGCTCCACAATATTCTCAGGTCGGTCTAATCTCTTCATAAACAATATATTTGATATTTAATCCTTTCGGAAAGCCATCTTTATCAAACACGATAGGTTGATCGTATCTGCGCTTTTTAAGTTATTGTCTGAAAATAAATTCTCCAAAGAGCATGTCACCTTCATTTAAATTGGGATCAATCATTGTGAATGTTTCGTCTCTTGTTGTTTTTTATTCTTTGTCAATGGAGTGAAGAAGAACAAGTAGATCAAAATAAATAAATAAACAAAAGCAAGAAATAATTAAAACCAATATTAAATAAAAATGTGCCTGGCAATGGCGCAAAAAATTGTTGTCGATTTTTATATCCCGCAAGTGTACGAATCGTTACAAGTAATATAGTGGATTAATGAGTTCGGATATCGTTCGCACGAGGACTACTATCGTTCTTAATTTTAATTTGATCGAAAGCAAATAAAAAATTTTGGTGATTAGTGTTTAAATTATTCTAACTAAAACTAAGTTATTTAACGTACATAATTTGTCAAATTTGAATTTTAAAATTATGAATGTGGATGTTAGGACTTACAATTTTACCCGTGGATACCTTAAATTCGCCAATCAAGGTTCATTACTATTGTAGTGCTTGGTCAAAGTCTTTTAAAGTATTCAATTTACCTCTATCGAGTTCTCACTGAGTCTATTTAACTAATTCAATTTCATATTTTCATGTGAATCAATATTAATTAAATGAAGTATTAGTTCTACAAATTTATCTAATGACCGCAATGATTAGTATATGTATCTCTAATCTAAAACTTACCTCTCGATTCATATTAGATTCACAAAATCATTGAATAATTGGCCAAAGAATTTAAAGTATGAAATTCATGAATAAAATCAACACATGTATTTAAAGAACTAAAATCTTGAATAAAATAAAGGGTCACGCATAGATTACATTGTTCGCTTTTGCTATGAATTTATGTACTCATAATAATTAAAGAAAAACAAAAAGTATAGAGTTCATAATTAGGTTTTGAAATCTTCATCATAGAAATAATTGGATATTGCACCAAAAATCTTCTTCAACCTCAAAAGTTTTCAAATCCTAGCTTTTGTTCTTTAATCTTGATGATTATGTGTTTTTTTTCTCCCCAAATTGTGTGAAACTCTTGTATTTATACTCTTCCCTACATTAATTTGTTTTCAATGTAGGGTTTTTATGGACTTTAAAATGGACCAAAAATGCGCCCTAGATGCACCCAGGCGACGCCGGGAAGAGAGAGTGATGGCACTTCGACACCAAAATAGTGTTGTCATTGCATTGCACTTCCTTTAGTATTTTTATCATAACTCTCTCCCGATATCCGATTGAGGCGATTCAAATTGGGTTGCAAATATAACTTAAAGAGCTACAACTTTACTAGAAATAGATATTTTCCAAGTCGAACTTTTACTAGGCCAAAAATGGGTCTCAATCTCTGGCTGAAAATTTGGAACATCCTTGTGCGGTTGAAAATTGATTTGTGAAAATATTTTGGTCATATTTCACTCCTTTTGACTTCTAATTGCATCCATTTGACCCCTAACATTCTCGAATCTTCAACGTGAGCTTCAGCACAACTTTTGAGTATTTATACTTTAGTTCCCAAACTTTGGATCTTGCCCTCTTTTTTTTTTTTGCCAATTTTCACTTTTTTCTTCAAATCCACTTCCATTTATCGAGTTTCACCTAATAACACATTATATAATAAATTAAGCTATAATCTTACTAAAAGAATTACGAAATGTCATTATTTTAGAGCTCCGAATAAGTGTATAAAATACATTCATCACCACACGTAAAGCATCTCTCTTGGTAAATATGTACTTCGGGCACATTTTGCAAAACTTTTGAGCCTAAAGATGCTTTTAAGATTAATAATTTACTTTTGAACATATTTAGATAATTTTCTGAAAATAATTTGCTTGGCAAGAAGAGTTTTTAGATGAAACTATTCTAATGTAATTTTCTCATAAAACTCTTCCATAAGAAGTAGAAGCAAAAATAGAAATTCATGTCAAATGAGACCTTAAACACCTTTATCAAGCCTTGATAAAGTTGATCTAAGGCTATGTTTGATAGCATCCATTTTCTAGGGAAGTTAGAAAGTTTTTTCCATTTTCCACTTTTTCCATTGTTTGATAGCACATATTTTTCATGCAAAATTTTTTCCACCCATCTCCACCACGTGCCTGCTTTCCTTGGATTGTGGGAAAATATTTTCCTTTTGTTTTCGTGGGAAAAGATATTCCAGGTTTTTTTTTTTGGCAATGTGAAAAANATGTCTAATTTTACATTAAGGGCCTATTTGATAACTATTATTTTCTAGAGAAGTTGGAAATTTTTTTCCTTTTTCCAACAAATGTGGTGTTTGATAGGTTTTATTTTATAGGGAACTGGTTTTCTTGGTTGAAGCCTCATGCGCCCATTTTTCACCTAATTATTGAATTAATTTTCTCGCCTTTGTTGTGGTAAAACTTTTTCCAGCTTTTTTTTTTTTTTACAATTGGAAAAAATTCTAAATACAATGATAAAAAAAAATTTCACTGTTATTGACAATTTCCATGGAAAAACAAAGCCAAACGAATAATATTCGATATAATAATTTTTTTTCAATTTTTTTGACAGTTGAAGCAAATTTTAGATCCAATGATATAAAAAATTATCACTTTAATTGACCGTTTTCATAAAAAACGAAATTAAAAGGACACCAAACTTTCAACATTTTTCAAGTGGAAAATTATACCAATCAAACACAATTAATTACAATTCATAGTAAAATAATTTTTAGGCAATTCAATTTCCAGTAAAATATTTTATTTCAACATATTTTTCACATTTACAATCAAATGGACCCTAATGTATGCATACAGGGAAAAAAATGTAATTAACAAATTTAAGACATTAAAAACCTTATTTTTTGCGAGTATCTCGAGTCTCGACAGGTGGTCAAGATTCACGGTCTTAAAATTGGGTTTTTTTTAAATAAATCAATATTTATATTTTAAATTCATCTTTTGATATTTTTTTTTCCTCTTCCATTATTTTGAGATGATTGGTTCTGTCTTTGTTATTGTAGATATCTTTAGTTAACGACAAGTTTCTTTTCAAAAATATTTTTCAATATTAAGTGATGATTTGCAGATCTCCAAAATGGACCCTTCTCCACATATATGCCCAAACTTGTTTTCTAAATTTTAATAAACTTGTACATAAATAAATACAATTTCTTAATTCAAACTCTTCTCTTATTCGTCACATTTCATCGCGTGAATTGTCGAACATTCCGACTAAAAGTGATCGATATTTGAACATAGACGAGAAAGGTAAAAACACAATCGGAGCGGTTGAACCTTTACACATAGGTGCACACAAGGAACATAAACTGATAAACACACAATTGGACTTATTAAATATAGAGTACATATATAACATCCAGAATTTATTCATTCAAAATGAAAATCTAATATTCATATAGAAGCTTTGGCATTTGTAGTAGTAGTAGATGGAACCCACACAAAATTATCTGCAGGAAAGAAGTGGCACACTGGGGAGGACCCTGGTTTGGTACCAAGAACCCTAAAAGCCACATGATTCTCACTCCACTGAGAAGTATCCAAATGACATACAGAAATAGCTTCACTTTTATCCCCATATTCACCATCCAAAGAAACCCTAAAAACCCTGCTTCTACTTTCTTGATAATGGCAGTAGAATATTGTGTATGGGTATGGCATTGTATGGCATGCAACTGATTTAGGGGCTGAAATTTCTTGGATTTTTATTATGGTATATTTCTGTAAAAGGGTTTTGGAATTTGTGAGGTGGGTTGTCGATAAAACTTTGATTTGAGATTCCATTCCTAAGATTTTCTGTATAAAATCAAGCATTGATTCTAAGGATGTAGCACAGAATTTGGTTTCTCCTTTAATGGGTTCTGTTTCACATTCTCTTAGAGTGTTTTCCATTGCTTGGGCTTGTGGTGAATCTTGAGAAAAAGAGAACAATTCAAGAAGATTTGGGAGTTTTTGTGATGCAAAAGGAATTGAATCAGCTTCTTGTTTGGAGAGTAAATGAGAGGAGTTAGGTTTTCTTCTTGGGAAATGAATTGGCATTGAATTTCCTTGTTTTAAATCATCCAACTGGAAGAACACAATTACTGAAGGATCCATATGATCCATGTGTGATGATGAATGAGCATGAATATGGTGTGCATGCATCTCTTCATGAGCATCATTTTCTTTCTTATCCATGCTGTGGAGCCGTAAAACATCCATCTTCTGCAAATCGAAGACATTGTTTTTAGACTAGGAGGTCCAAAATGAAAATTAAAATCAAATCTCGTCAAAATTTAAATTTGGCATTTTATGTACCTGATTATCGAAACGATCATGATCTATATGCATTTTCAGAGTTTCTCCAGCCATTTCCTGGGCAGAACTTCCACGAGCACCCTGCAGTAAATTATAAGTAGTTCTTTTAAGTGAATTCAATGTTCATTTGGTTGGAACAAAAACAAGAAGTAATTCAATATTACCAGCAGAATTAGATGGAGATAGACACTACAAAATGCAAGCTTATGGTACATCATTCTCCTTCCTCTTGATTTCTTCTAATTTTTTCTAAGTAGGGCAATGAATTCAAACGCACTCAGTGTGGATATCCAGGGAGGAATTATCAATTATGTTCAATAATTGGACATTATATAATTTTTAAAGAACCTGTGTGCCCTACTGAAATAACTTACCTTATCAAGCATTTATCCATTTAATTATTGAATCCAAAGAGAATCTTAGTGATGTCAGCAATGAGGTAGCGTAAAATTTACACAATTGGAGTTGAGATATACTATCCCTATTTTGCGATCTCCCCACTAGAATTTCAACACCTCACTATATTGGATATATAGAGGGTGTTTTGATGGAGATTAAAATTAGATTTTTAGTAAATTATGATAGAAGTTTTTGAAATGTGTGGTTGAAAAATTATGGAACTCATAAAAGATGTGGTTAATATTGATTGTTTGATTTTGACTTGGATTTAAATCAGATTTTAATCCGGACCAAACAGGGGCATAGTGTTAGCACATATATGTGATATCACCTAGGAAATGTTATCTTGACAAGAAATTAATTCTTTTGCTGCTACAAAACTGTTGTTTAAGCATTCATTTTAGTCTTCTGTAACGTGTTAATTTGTTTCTTATTACAGCAATTTTGTCTCTTCACCTCCACGTCTATCGTGATGCACGTAAGAATGAAATAGAGGAAAAAAGGGCAGATAGCACGCACAAGTTTTTGCTCTATTCTTCTTATTTTCTATTTCTTTTAGCCATTGGAATGAAAGTTTTCCAAGAATTTTACAAGTAGAAAACAACAGTAGATTTGAGAATCTCTAAGTATATTTTCTTGCTCAACTTAGAAAGACAAGTATTTATCAGATTTCACGTGAATCAATAGTAGCATAACTTCATTAATCATGTTGCTAATCAGAACAATCATATCTGATATCCTACAATATTAAAATATTTATTTTTGCAAGATCATTAGCTAAACTGATAAAATATTAATTCCACGTGAAACGACACAACCCTGTATTATCTATTGATATATAAGTTTGATTTTAATTATTGTTAATATAGCAATTAACATATTTTTTCTCTCTTTTAATTATTGTTAATATAGCAATTAACATATTTTTTCTCTCTATAAATAGCCAGTGTCTTCATTCTGCTTACCAAATCTCATTCATAAAAAGACTTGTACTGTGTAGGAATAACCTTTTATTAGGAAAAGAGGGAGAGATCTATTATTGATACATATTTATGGCAAGATCTATTATTTAATTGAATTAATGTTCTAATAAATTAAATAAT